GCAACCAGTATTGAAATATTGATTTTTACAGTTTGAGCGTAGGCTACAGCTTATTATTTTTTCAAATATTTTACTGACAATCTGTTAGTTATTCGAACGTTTTGGGTAACAATGAATACAGAGAAAATGAAAAAACTCGCCGAAGAAGGGGTTAGGATAATTTTTTTTATTATAAGCTCAGAAATAGCCTTACCACGAACGACTTGGTAAACATTTAATTTATTTCTCTAGCTGCTATATAATCGCTCTACTAACTTTTGTTCAATGTTTTTCCATATTTTTCTGTCTCTACTCTTTCCCATGTTATTTTCATTATAGATCTTTGTAATCTTATTTCAAACACAGCTTTTTAAAATAGAAGAATCATCTATTTATTTTATTTCCAAATAATTACACCTGCCCTGTTTCGATTTTTTTAATTACTCGATTATTTTAAAAAACTGCAGAATTATTTACATATTGTGAATAACCTTATTTTCTGGCAGCATAAACATTCGAATTGTTGAAGTCGGCATTGCGATACTGGTTGCATACATTTAGCATAGTCTGTTCTACTATGAAATCGCTACTAGCTATAAAATCGAGAGAGAAAACACTTTGCAATCGTATTTTGTTTTGCTGAATAACATTAGCACAAAATACAAACGGTCCAAAAATTATCATCAAAATGCTAAATAGATACGAGACAGGAATATCTTTATGACATTGATGACAGCTGATGGTGTCAACTGTATTACGAAATGTAAATGTTAAATATCTCCTTATAGGTTTCTCAAGGAAGCATTTTTATAGATCCAAAATTCAACGAAAAATAAAGCAATTGCGATAAAACTGGCTTGGTTGTCAGCTTCCTGCAGAGATTCCTTACGCCCGCCTATGGCATGGAACGTGAAATAAATCAATGGGAGCAAGTCCCGGGTAATTTTTGGAAGTAGGTTTACAATTGCTGTTGGTGGGAATGTGTGGAGTGCACATAAATTAATTAGGTTGTCGTGTCTCTGCCGGAAAACCCACCCGGAATGTCGCCGTCGCAACTCTGCAACTTACTACTGCTTCTGAGATGACACTGGTGAGATTATTGCGCGTCTCTTAGAATAGACGTCTCCTAAAGCTACCAATGGCGTTTTTACGCTACATCGGCATTATGCTCTTTTAAAAAGAAAATCATAATTTTTCAGTTTTCAAGAATAGAAGTTTTATTTCCATTTTACTATAAAGTAGTATTGGAATATAGTCATACAAGTAAACATAAACAAGCTTAGTATAAAACAGACAAAGCAATTTGGATTAACGTATACTTGTTAGTATATGTCGTCAACAATACTAGTAATCAATTGGGCATATATAGCCATCTGCATTCCACAAGTTGTTTGTATGTCGACTCTAACAACAATACCTATCAAATGGGCACATTTAAAAGGCATAGTTAAAGTATTCCTCTACGGAGTCAAAAGAGTTTTCTATAAATATATACTTACATAAACAACACAATTGTAAATTAATATAAAAAGAGAAAGCTGACATAATACCACTTTCCTTAAATAATGCGCGACATGAAAATCTCTAGTTGTTCTTAAGATTCCCTTTTGGATTAAAAAGATTTCGTTAATCTTAGTACGGTTTTCTTAACAGATGTTGCAGCAATTCAGTACAGAATACACATTGGCAAAATAATACATAATTAATAGCAAAGTGTTAGTTTACAGGTAGTAATATCTATCTGATTTGACCATGTAAGAATTTCATCAAAATGAATACCCAATTCTTTATTAGGCTTGCATTGATAAACGCTGGAGTCACAAGATTTATTAGGTAAGCTTAGTTTATTAGTTAGTAAACTTAACAGTATACAGGCATAATCTCTGAGTAAAGTAAACCTTTAGCTTTCCCGCTTTCAATGGGATCCCGATACTTTTTTCTCGTAAGTGTTATGTTGATTTTGATCTGGGGAAACGCGGTGCAGGAGGTATAACTGGGAGCAATACGTCATATGTTAATTTCCCTCAACGTTTCTCTTTGAAAGCATTAGCATCTTTTAGATTTAGTGTGCACCTTGTAGCATCATGTCATGCGCTGTACACATGCAACTTTTGGCTACATCATAAAAATGTGACAGCCTCCAAAGAACGCCACAATATCCCGATGAATTCCAGTGAATGATATGCTCTTTTTAGCAAATTTTTTCTCACGTTTTTTGTGGCTGCCGCCGCGTATGTAGAAATCTGAATATCAAAGCACCGCGGCTGCTATAAGCACTTAAACATACTTTATTAGTCCAATTTTTAAACTGACCAAGGTCAGTAAGTCTGGAAAAAGCTTCCTTAGGTGGATTGTTCCAGAATCTCGATACCGTAAGTGTGCATCAATTTTGCGAGCCTAGCGCGGTAGCTACGCCGGGCGCGAAATATCAAACATTATGAAACGCGCCTTTGCGTCCACAGTGTGTAACAGTTTCACCGTCCGATTGTATTTATTACATCACTTCTCGATTTTCATTTCAGAATCGCAACTCATTAATCCCATCTCTAGCTTATCCCATCTCTAGCTTATCCCATCTCTAGCTTTTTTACTTGGAAACATTTCCGCTTGGAGCGCGCTTGATGCGGAGTTCCTGATCTGTGATCTTCCTCGCGCTTCCTTTTCATTTCAGCCGCCGATCTAACTACAGCTGAGAATTTTGTTCTCTGTAGCATGAGGTCTATAGTACCAAGTGTTTCTTTGAGGTTTATTTCTCAATCATGGTTTAGCCTAGACTAAGCCCAAATGACTTATTAAGTCATGAGCTCCACTACGAGATTCATATCAGAGGTTTGGAAGTCCCTAACACAGTGGAGGATAAACCTAAAGTTTTACGTGGCTTATTAGCACAAGAATTTCAAGAACGTAGTTTCTCAGAACCTTCTGTGACTATTCGTTTTGATGAGGATGAGACTGAGATAAGACTCTCATTCAATAAACTCACTGAGATGATTTCTAGATTTACTGGTGCATTTGATTCTGTTGAACATCGCAGAATTTGTGTGCGCTCATTGCATCTATCTGGTAGGATAGATCGAATATCTCTTACTTGTGATGAGGAGATAAGTACAAAATCTAGATTGAAGACACAACTTGTTGTGTGTGAATCTGATCTTTTAGAGAAGCTTCAGATGCCATCTCCTCCATCAGTTTCATCTCGTCCTATTCCATTGGCATCAAATCCGCCTGTGACTGTTACTAATCCTCAAGTATTTCCTCCAGTACATACACAGCCACTCTCTCCTATAAATTTTGCTCCACATAAAAAGATACCAGTTTTCAAATGGGGAATCAAAAAATTTTCTGGAAATAGCTCAGTTATTGAATTTCTAGAAATTGTCGAATCTCTAAGGTCTTCCCGTAGTTGCAATGAGATGGATCTCTTTGCATCTGCAGGTGATCTCTTTGAAGATGTAGCCTGGACATGGTGGCATAATGGCCATCTAAGAAATAGCTTTCATGATTGGCAGGACTTGATTAAACAACTCAAGGATGCTTTTCTACGTGACAATTATGATATGAACCTAATTGATGAGATTCGTAGACGCAAACAAGGTCAGCATGAACATGTTACGATCTTCATTTCATTCATGGAATCTCAATTCAATAGATTAACCTACAATACATTTACAGAAAAGGACATGGTCAATATTGTCCGTATAAATTTATTGCCTGACTTCATAAAGTCACTTGCTCTTCATGAAATTTCTACTTTTCCTGAACTAACATCACTTTGTAGGAAATTAGAGGATTCCTTCTTGACTTGTCAACCCCACAATAGACTTTCCACTTCCAGCTTGGTTACTTCTGATAGTACTCCATCATCTCACAGAAAAGCTCCTGTATGTTGGAACTGCGAGAAACTAGGACATTCTGTTCGAGATTGTAGAGCACCTATGGCTGTTTATTGCTATACCTGTGGTATGAAAAATGTCACGCGCTCTGATTGTCCTTCCTGTTCAAAAAACGTGAGGCAAGAAGTTTCCAATCCGACTCCCGGAACTTCTGTCGCCCAGACTCGAGGAGTCATAGACGTAAAGGGTAAAGCAACTCCAGGTCTCATTCTGAAGTCCAACAAATAGCCAAGTTAAGACAACCTTCAGCAATTAATCCCAATTTTGACATTAATCACTCTCAACTTGCAGGTATGCCATCAAATGAGCATTCAGAACCATTTATTCAAAAACCAAATGACAATCGTCCACAATATCAAAAAAAAAAAACAAAACAATTTATGTAAACCTTCCTTTCCGCAAAAAGTCCAGAAAAGATGGAATGCAATGAAGATTCCAACTGTTCTGCACAATCACAGAAAGGGGGTTACCATTAGCTTCCGGTAGCTCAGTCGGTGGCATGAAGACATCTACAGGCGTGTAGCTGTGTGTCGACCATGGCATGGCTAGAGGATAGAAGAACAAACAGAACACAAAAAGTTAACAGATTTTATTTAACTAGAAAAGTATTTTCATTACATTTGAGAATTAACATTGTTGAAATTTTAAAGGACAAAATAAAAGATTTAAATCTTTGGCGCTGTTACAAAATTATCCGCGTATCTTTCGCTAAGCTGGTCCATTTTGACTGGACTGAAGTGAGGATGGCCAAGGGCTTCAAGTGGAGGTCCCAGCTATGAGGGGTGACCTCATATTTAGTGGCTTCAAAACTAGATGTAGGCGAAGGATGCAGTGAAGTTGAACTTAACCCTAGAAAGATAACCATTCGTAAATATTACGATGCGCGTATTCACTTGACCTTGAGCCTTTCGGCCGTTGGCGGTACGGTCCCCGAGTTCGCTATAGTTTGGCTGTTACGTCGACAAGTGCGGTGCGTAATAGTGTTATTCTGTCAAGCGACTAGTTCGTCCGTTTTAGATACCCTATTCGTAATTTTTACGACGGGTTAGTTTTAACATAATATTTTTTACAAAATCTATTATAGTATGTTTGCTTTGTTTTAGATATTTATCTAAAGTTTACCGCAAAATGTCGGACTGGAAATCAAATTACGACAGAACTAGACCTTTGTCTGATAAGGAACTTGAGCAGATCGTGCTTGAATATGACTCTGGGAGTGATTCCAGTGGATCAGAACTTGAAAATAATGAAGAATATGAACCATTTGAAGACTCAGGAAGCGAATATGAACCCTCAAGTGATGAAGATGTGTCAGATAACATGTGTCCTATTCCTTGTAAAAGGAAAAAAATACAGGAGAAGCTACAAACGGAGCCCGAAACAGTGGCAAATATCTCCCAAGAGGCGATGATAGAAGAAGATGATATTCCAGCTGATTCCTCAAGTCTTAATCCTGAGTCTGCGCAGATAAGTCTTAGAGGAAAAATGGACATCGATGGTCAGCTGTTGCAGGGCGAACAACAAGGATACCGATGAAAAATAAAGTTCACATAATTCAAGGGCCAACAGGTTTGGCTAAAGATGTTTTAAACCCATTGGACATTTTTACATTGCTGGTATCAGACATAATAGTTGATGAAATTGTTGAATATACCAACTTTGAAATATCAGTCAGATCTGAAACGTATAAGGAGAAAAAAGCCACAACTTCCTTCACAAACCCAATGGAGGTAAAGGCCCTTCTTAGACTCCTCATTTTTTCGGCGGCCTTCAAAAATAATCATCTCAATACTCAAGACTTATTTGATGAATCTCTTTGTGGCACAACATTCAAAGCAGTAATGAGCCGCGAGAGATTCAAATTCCTCATCAATTATCTCCGCTTTGATGACAAATCTACCCGAAAAGAAAGAAAAGAAGTAGATCCATTTGCACCTGTTAGAAGAATATGGGAAGAATTAATGTCTAACTGCAGACACTCATACAAAGCAGGGTCTTACGTGACTATCGACGAGCAGCTACTAGCATTCCGTGGTCGCTGTCCTTTTAGGATGTATATACCGAATAAACCAGCAAAATACGGTATAAAGATAGTCATGATTTGCGATTCTGGTACTAAATATATGGTAGATGCTAGTCCATATATTGGTAAAAAAACTAATACAAATAATATGCCTGTGGCAGAACATTATGTAAAAACATTGACATCATCAATATCGGGCGCAAATCGTAATATCACTATGGATAACTGGTTTTCGTCCATCAAAATTGCCGATGACCTTCTAGAAGATCCATATAATTTTACCATGGTAGGAACCATCAGAAAAAATAAGCGTGAAATTCCCCCACAAATGCTTTCTACAAGAAAGCGTCCTGCTGGTGATGCCAGATATTGTTTTGACAAACAGAAAACATTGCTTTCGTTTGTTCCCAAGCGAAATAAAAATGTTCTTTTATTGAGCACTATGCATTCTGGAAGCTCCTTGATATGCGAACAAAGTGGAAAGCCAGACATGATTGAATTTTACAACGCCACAAAAGGGGGTGTTGATACCTTTGACCAGATGTGTGGACACATGTCCACATCACGCAAAACCAAGCGTTGGCCACTCGGCATTTTTTATGGAATGATAAATATTGCATCCATAAACGCATTTGTGATTTATAATCACAATATGCATAAAGCAAGCAAAAAACCGTATAGCAGAAGACAATTTATGATTGGATTGAGCCGTGAGCTGATGACGTCCTGGATGAAGCATAGACTACAAATGCCAAGTTTGCAGCGCTCAATCAGATCAACCATTGGTAGTATTCTCAAAGTGGAACCAGTACAAGAAAGAGCAACTCCGGGAGTATCGGAGAGGCAAATGAAGCTAACAAATGTAACATAAGTGCTTATTTGCTCGCGCAGCCAAGCACATCAGTATGAGGTGAAGCATTATTGCACGGGCAAAGTGAAAGAGAGTTAGCCAAGATCTTCATCAGGCTGAAAGTGAGGCCACAAGCACATGTATGGGTGAAGGCACGGCAAGGATAGGCAAGGCAAAGTCAAAGACAAAGGTGGCAAAGTCAGAAGACAAAGGCAAATGGGGTGGCCCCATATCATTTTCTCCTATTTGGACACCACATTTTACAAAATGCTAGCACATGGTGCTATAGGACCTCATGCTACAGAGAACAAAATTCTCAGCTGTTGATAGATCGGCGGCTGAAGTGAAAAGGGCGCGCGAGGAAGATCACAGATCCGGAAATCCGCATCAAGCGCGCTCCAAGCGGAAATGTTTCCAAGTAAAAAAGCTAGAGATGGGATAAGCTAGAGATGGGATAAGCTAGAGATGGGATTAATGAGTTGCGATTCTGAAATGAAAATCGAGAACTGATTTAATAAATACAATCGGACGGTGAAACCGTTACAAGTGTAGCGACTGAGGCGGAAGCCTAGGGCGTCGGGACCTAGTAACACAGCGCGCGTAGTTTTCAAACGTTCCTGTTCCGCTCTTTCAGACTACACTACGGGCCTAATCAGCAAGCGACCTAACGCCCGGAGGCAGCGGTAACAAACCGAACGGTGTTGTCGCTCAGCGTATGCATGAGCATTATTTTATTGAAATGGCGGATACTGCATTATTTATAAGTGCAATTTAATCTAAATCACCTATTTGGCAAAGTAAACATCCGCAGCACAGATATTTAACTTATGATGTAGTTTTTTTTTTATATTCCAACTACCACGAAGGCCTAGGGCCTAAGCACCCATTGGGTACCGTGGGCTATAGGGGGATACATGGGAAAGGGGGGGACGCCACACGGACTCTGGCGAGGGAACACGTGTGCATGCACATGCACACATTCTGGCTCGCTACGAGAACCGCCGGGTGGTACCTCCGCGTCGACAGTCAGAGACCAGCTACCACCTACTGACAATCACAACATCATAGCCAAGAGAAAAAATTTCTCCTGGGACGGGACTCGAACCCGCACAGCGCACGGCGACTGATCGGATGACCGAAGAGTCTACTACTGCGGCCACCGCTGCTGTCCTAAACGGGCATTCGAGTGTACTCAAAGGATTTGGTAGGGATAATCTCAGTCTTCATCCAAATGAAAAAAATCACAGTGTTTTTTCTGTTTTTATTTATTTCGTGCATATCATCTCGAGTGTTCAACACCTGCATTTAGGATCTGACTGTCTAGTTAGGACCCCAAATTGTCGTCATAGTTTGGGGACTTACCAGTGATATACGTCGAATGAGCACAGAGCTCGCGTGTCACTGTAGACACCACACGCCGCCTCCCGCCGCACCCGGCTTAGTTGCATTCAGTATGGATGCACACACGGTTAGCATGGGAGGCTGTAGTCGGCAGGTCTGTCTAGCAGGAGACCGCGCAGCGGTATCATGAAGAGATCTCTGCGGAACAAAGACAATACCAGTAGAAGAGAGCTAAATCGCCGACGGCCGGTCAGTGCCAAAGGGTTCCGAGACTGTTCGATAGAGAAGTGTCATCGACCAGTCGTTACAGCTCTCCTCTGGACGGCATCGAATATGGACAACGAATCCAGGACAGCAGCACCTCAAACATGCAAGAAGTACGCAAGCTAAATCTTATCTGAACCTTATAGAAAGTGAGGAGATTATGATGAGAACAATATTTCTTAGCCATAAACAGATAATCGAACTTTTTCTCAGCAACTGTTCAGACTGACGAGAGGTCTTTGTGGCAAGCCAACTCTGGACTCCAACCAGTCGAAACCAATGGCTCTAGGCAAAACTCAGTGGAGATCCAAAGATACACAAACAAAAAGCAATAGTGGGCCGCCAGATCCGAGCTTCTAGCAAATGTAAGTATGGTCTTTGCTTCTATCTTCTGTTTATCTGTTTGTAAACGGAGAAAAAATGACTTCTTCAGTAATATGATTCTCTGGAGAACTACTTTCCTCTGGTCGCAGTGTCCAGAAACCAGAACTCATTAGCTATTTGACTATTTTTTACGTCCTCTGTAATATGCTACATTACTGATGGTATTGCGTGTGTGTACATGAAACTGGACTAAGACAGTAACGGATGTTTGTCTAGAAAATCCTACTGGCAGCAAATCAGGTTATCGGAATACTATATTTATTGGATACACCGGGAATTGTCTTTCAAGGATTATGAGAGAATTGTCAGTGTCAATGATCCTGATGGATTCTTCAACGCGAAGGAGAACGTTAGCCAAAAAATAGTTACATGATACTAGAAAATCACCTGCAAATATATTATGGCTTCTCAAAGAATAACCAATTTGGTGGTTGGTAAAACTATGCAGTAGCATTGGTTAAAAATGTTACTCGGACAAGTATTACGAAAGGAAACATTTACGGATTCCGGATCTTTTTTCATGTTTTAACGTGATGAACATGCCCTTAAATTGTCCTCACAACGTTTTGTATTATCCGGTATAATGACACTGACACCGTGACATATGTCGTCACGTTTATAAACTATTGAATTGTTAGTTTTTCATAGTTTTATTTTGTGCACTAGGAACTGAAAAAAGCGTGGTAATATAACTGAGATTGATCCTTGTAGAAAACTCCTGTTCATGTTGCGAAAGCTGTTCATTTCAATCAACCCCTTCTTCTAGATAAGCAATCAAATAGCCCTTACATTTGCTAAATTAATATAGAGACGAGTATGGTTGACCACTGCCTGGCTGGCATAACGTTGACTGTACCGTAAATCTGCATATTTCTGGGAAGATACACATTTTGGTCTACAAGCTGCCGCATTAATATTCTACTCTAATTAACACGGGCTGAATTAGCCCTTGTCTGTCTGTCTGTCCGTTCCTTGACCGTTTATTTACATCTCGGGCTCCGTTTTCCATCATTTATGAGATTAGCCGTAAGGATATATGCATTGCGGTAATGTCCATATCTTTAATTGCTGAATCTGTCGTTGCTTTTCTGCCATCATTCTTCAATGCTGCATACACATACTGTAGCTCTCAAGGCTAGGTTGTCTAATAAGTATTTAGTTTGGGTTTTTAAATTGTTGTAACTTAGATGCCTTGCGCTTTGTATCAGTAGATGACAGCACCAGAATCGCTTCCGGAATTTCCAAACCCGTTCTCACTGCTTTCAGTAATGCGTCTGGCATTGCTGTGTTATTGTTTTCATCCAAAATGGGACATTATACAGAGTGCCATAAAGTTGGGACTTTACATATCAGAAACAACTACGTTTGTAATAACAAAGCTAATTTGAGGTGAAACAACAGCGAAAAAAATACATAGAAACGTACTCAGCGTTCATCGAATAAAAATTCAAGTACCGCTCTGACACTTGTAAGTATTCTTCAAGGTCATTTGCGATAGATTCACGGATACATGTATGTGCTCGACATATACAAGCATCCGTGTAGGCTTTTAGAATAGACTGCCTTTCCCGAATGTATGCAGCAGATTGCTAAATTCGCACATGGAGTTCGTCAACCGTGTTCACGTACATTAAACATTCCATTTCGCCCCAAGCGAAAAAAGAAATCACGAAG